GAGAGGAGAGGAGAGGAGAGGACTCATGGGCACTCATGGGCACAAGAGCAAGCCTCATGACCGAAGTAGTTCATTATATCATTTGAATCCCTTAACCGAACAGCAAAAAACATGAACAACCAAAAACCACTCAGATGTCTACAAACAAACTACATGTTCCTGCAGGAATCTGCAAACCATCTCCTATCCAGAAAACCCAAAGAACACTTCCAAAAGAAAAGGAACTAGTTTAATAGTGCCAGGCAGATGCTTTGGGGACTTGCATGAGCTGACAGGTGCAGGAGGAGGAAAGAGATGGTTGCAACCCTGTCAGCCAACAAAAGCCACACATAGAAGGTTGTACAATACAGGGAGGGGAGACAGGGACATATCTACAGTTGGTTTCTCTTCAAAAAGCCAATTTGCATGGCTTTGCTGTGCATTTTGAAGGCTGTTTACCAGTCTGGGCTTTGTCTTAGCTGAAATGTAGGCAGCATTTCTAACAAGGGATATGCAAACTGGAACTCCCGGGAGGCTTTGCAGCAGAACCGATTGCAAAAGATTAGCGGCAGGGCTTAAGAGAGAAAGAGAGAAGGGAAAGTAATGAAACAAAATCTCTTTCTTTTCCTCGGCTGAGGAATGATGGGGGCTAATTGCTTGTTGCTGGTGTGAAAGAGAGGAGATAGCAGCTTCTGTGCCCATCAATAAATTAACCCCAGCATGTGGCATCTGAAACGCATTCATTTTCCTGAGACATTTATCTCTTTGTCTCCTCTCCTGGGTGAAAACATAACTATTGTTTAAACATGAGTTAATTCAGCAAGGTGAGGATCAATAAAGCAGAATTACTCCTCTTTTAAAAGCAGAGAAATTTCAGTCTGGGACAGATGTGGACATAAGTCTGGCAGAGCTGATGGATGGGGAAGATGCTTTGGTCATGGCAGGAGCCCAAGGAAGGAAAGTACCCTCTTCCCAGGACTGCTGTAGCCCTTGGTCTACTGAGAACAGCTAAGTCCATCCACAGGCAGTCATGGCAATGAATAGAAAGAGCTGAAATCACCCATTCACATATGCTTTATGGCCTTATACATGGTTAGGCACCTCCACTATGTACACACTTCTCACCTAAGGTGCTTTGGCAAAGTCCCAGGGCTCATGCTGTGGCCTCTCCCTTTCCTTTGAGGGTGCCCTAGCCCTGCTAGGGAGAGGGCTCCATGTTCTCCAGTCAGTTTTGCCTCCTGTTTCCCCTCCTGCTTCTTCTTGCAGCTGCTCTCCATCCCTCTGCACTGGCTGGAACCTCTGTGGGTGGGAACAGCCCACAGCTGCCTGAGACCATGCCCAAATCTGGAGGCAGGCTGCCTCCCTTCCAGTAGCCCTGTCTGAAGCTGATTTCCTTTCAGTGCTTACCCACTCATTGGAGGGACATCCCTGGATCACTTGCTCAGTGAGTCCAGCAGAAAGGCCAAATATCACTCCACATCAACATACCCTGGCAGCTAAACTTTGCAAGCCTTACCTCTTCTTTTCCCCCTTCCAATTTTACCCAGTGCAACCCCTCTTCCTTTGCTAAACTCAGTGGCCATTGTAAACTACCTTGCATGGCTGCCCTGGCCAGGCTAGGGAAGGATGTGCCTTCAACGCAGCAGCAGTGATCTCACCCGTGGTAAGGGTCCTTCCAGAGCCTGCCAGAGCCACCCAGCCTTAGGGCCTGGGGGACACAGGGCGGTGAGTTTAGCAGCAGTGGGATTAGCTGTGAGTACATGGTACAACTCCCAGCTGGCAGCAGTGCTGGTGGCTCCAGAAGTGTCTATGGTCCCACCTGACTGCGCCAAAACCAAAGACTCCATGGTGAGGTGGGATGGGAGCAATCCCCATTCGATGGCTTGAGCTATTCCAGCGGTGATGATACAACCCAAGAAACCAGGGTTATTTCTCCTGAGGGGTGGCATCCCCTGTCTACAGCCAGATGTCCTACCTACTCCCATGCCTCCCAGTTGGGGTGGCACAAGGGGGAATGCCATGGGAGACTGCCCCACAAACACCCTCTTTTGCTGCCCCCTTGCCCCTCCCTGTAGCATGATACACAAAACCCAGGGCACAAGCCAGCACGTCACTGCCACCCTCTGAGATACCCTCGGGGCTGCCCTGAGCCATGTCTCCAGTCTCCCACCACACACTGCCCACCCCATGGGTTGCTGGATGTGGTGTTGCCCAATGGCATGGTGTGGGTGCCACATTAGCAACCCGCCAGGGATGAAAAGCAAGGGACCTGTGCCATCAGAGGGAGGGACAGCCCCCAAATCCAATGACCTCTGAGCCCCTTCCATTCCCCGCCCAGCCGTGGGAAGCTCCAGCATCCCAGACAAACACACCCTTAGCTCTCCTGTCTCCATGGAGATGGCCCAAAGATGAGCAGCAGAGGGGTTGAGGCACCAGCAGCCTCACCTCTGCTGAGCCTGACACTGCTTTTATTAATTCATTTGGCACTTTGGAGGACGCTCCAGTAATCACCAGGGTGCACGTGAGAGCCAGGAGCAGGCAGCCGGTGCTCCTGCCTCCCTGTAGCATGATACACAAAACCCAGGGCACAAGCCAGCACGTCACTGCCACCCTCTGAGATACCCTCGGGGCTGCCCTGAGCCATGTCTCCAGTCTCCCACCACACACTGCCCACCCCATGGGTTGCTGGATGTGGTGTTGCCCAATGGCATGGTGTGGGTGCCACATTAGCAACCCGCCAGGGATGAAAAGCAAGGGACCTGTGCCATCAGAGGGAGGGACAGCCCCCAAATCCAATGACCTCTGAGCCCCTTCCATTCCCCGCCCAGCCGTGGGAAGCTCCAGCATCCCAGACAAACACACCCTTAGCTCTCCTGTCTCCATGGAGATGGCCCAAAGATGAGCAGCAGAGGGGTTGAGGCACCAGCAGCCTCACCTCTGCTGAGCCTGACACTGCTTTTATTAATTCATTTGGCACTTTGGAGGACGCTCCAGTAATCACCAGGGTGCACGTGAGAGCCAGGAGCAGGCAGCCGGTGCTCATGCTCACTTAACAGCTTGTCACATCCTCCTCACTCAAGTATTCAGTGCTAATGCATCCCTTAAAGTGCTTCACGAGCTATTAAAGTCGAGCGTGCCTCAAGTGCATGATAAATGGACTCTCTGCCAGCGTCTTCCCCCCTACTCCACCCTGTCCCTGCCATCAGTGGGATTAATCTGTCCTCCCACCACATTCCCTCTGTGCTTTCCCAGGCCAAGTGTCCAGCTGGTGGGGAAGGCTGCAAAGGGCAGCAGGGTGAGCTCTGGGAAATGGAGGGATGAATCACACTTCTCAGGTCCACAACATGGGGCAGATGCTTCCCAACTCCATCTGCCTATGTGCAGACTCTCCAAGGTGGGCAGGACAGCTTGGGCAGGAGACCTGCTGCTCCAAAGCCCCTGCCCAAAGCATCACCTCTGTGTTTCAGGAAAGTGTCCAAAAGAGATGCATCATGACCCTGGGAAACAGATTGAGGATGGTTCTGGAACTGCCCTACTAGCCTTTCTCCAGCTCTTATACCCAGCTCCACTCCCAGCTCTCCTTTTTACACCCTTTAGCACAGAGCAGCCTCTCTGGCTCCCTCCAGGTGTCTGTTGAAGCACTCGGGTCTCACCAGCTTCGGTTTTGATACCCCAGACAGCTCCCTCTTGGACGCAGACAGGCAAGGGAAAGTGGAAGGTACAAAAGGACAGGGAGGCGATGCTGCCAAATCTCTAAATCCTGATGGATCATGGAGAAGGTGACTGTTGCCTGGCCAGGGAGCTTTCCCAGGGCCGTGCTCTCTATGCCAGAATGCTGCTGCCAGCAGCAAAATGTCTCTGTCTAGACAACACATTTCAAGTGTGTTTAACTCTGAATTAGCTGTCACTTCTGCTGTCCCATAGCATGGAGGGAAGCAGCACAGTGCATGCAAGGGAAGCTTTGGCAGCCATGACACTGGGTCCCGCAAAGCTTCCCAGCCAGTGGTGCTGCAGGCATTGCAGGACCAGTCAGCATTGCTTCTCTGCAGAAAGCATCACACCATCACAAGCAGCACAGAGCTCAGCACCCAAATGCTCCAAGCAGGCACCTTGGGAAGGTACTGAGAACACTCCTGCAATGCCACTCAGCAAGTTCTCTCTGTGTCTTGAGAGTAGCTGTTCCCACATGATGGGGACATGCCACTGAACCCCAGCTGCTTTGTGTCCAAGCAAGCAAGGCTGTCAGCTTCCAGCAACGTGAATCCACCCAGCTGGATTTAGGTGAGCTCAGTGGTGTGCTCTGGCTGTGTTCTGCAGTCCCTCAGAGCCTACAGATGCACAGATGTCCTTACTGGACTTTATCAGAAAAATTCTCCTCTGTAATCAACCAAAAGCAACTACAGCCAGGTTGACTGCCAGGAAAGCCAGTCAATTTCGGAGGTTCTCTGTTTTGTCCCATTTTTGCAGGGCTGCTATAGGTGACTCCACAGTGGAACTCAAGCCACTACCCTATAACCTTCTTAATCCTGCCAGGACGCAGGATCACTGGTGTCTCTAAAATTTCTTATCTCTAAAGCTATTGCTAATGTAAACCCCAAATCCTCTGCCATCCTGGAGTGGCAGGAGCTAGTCATGGGTACAGGTGGGTGGAGGCAATGGGGGTGAAATTACCCCAAGGAGGTGAAAGAAGGATGAGGCACTCATCATGGTCATGGGGGTAGGGTGTTGGAGCTTGGGCCTGTCGAGCTGCTGCTTCTTCCCACCCACCCATCCCTTCATATTTTCATGGTTGCAGAGAGCAGCACGCAGCAATGAGGGGTGAAGAGATGGGAAGCAATGCCCTGGTGGCAGGGGCACTCTGGGACATGCAGGATCAGGACAGGGCAAGGGGGAAAACATCCAGTAATGTAGTATCAGGTAAACCTGGAGAGTGCACTCAGCTTGCCCCAGGAGAGAGGTCAGAGGAGTGTCACCCACAATTTTTGGGATGCCCAAGGTGGAAGAGATGGGAAGAGACTTACCCTGCTGGCTGTGTCTCTGTGCATACACCACCACCACTGCAGCAAGCACCACGCAGCAGGCTGATGGGACAGGGTTAGCCATCTGTGGAAGCAAACACAGGCAGGAGCAGTCAGGAGAACTCAGAGGTGGTGTGTTCAGAGCCAGTCCCTCCCAGGCAGCCAAAGGGTGTGATGAGACCACAAGGAAACGGCCACAGAGCAAGACTTCATCTCAGCTACAGGGGAACTTGCCGCTAAATGAGGCATTTTGCTGGAGCACACTTCCCTGCTCAGTGGCCTGTGGCACTTCCCATGGGAGCTGCCAGCAAAACCAGGTACCCTGAGGCAATGATGCACCTTGCACGAACACTGTTTTTACCTCGTCTCATTTTCATCCTTCCCCTTAAGAAAGTTAAACCCTAGTGCTGGGCTCTCCCTGACAGTTACAGCATCACCCTAGGAGCAGACATTGCTTGCAAGTGGTTTGCAGAGTATTCTTGAGGAGATGGAAGCACACCCAGGCACTTCACAGCAGCAGCCAGTGCTCCTTAGGATGTACAAAATGCCCATCCCAGCATGGGCAGCTGCTCCTGCAGCCTCCTGTGTTGCCCCTTCTGATTCTAACATGGAGCACTGTGCTGTCTGCCAGACCAATGATACAGCAGCAGCATTTCTGGGCAGGCTAAGGGCACTGTAGACCTCACTGGTGTCTTTGCAGTGACTGAAAGGTGCTGCATGCTTCCTCAGCCACTTGCCACCAACATCCCAATGGGCCATGGTTCATCTCCATCTCTGAGCTGGGAGAGGTGCAGAGGCTGCTCCATCCCAGTGAGCCACGTCACATCCCAGGGGACGATGGGGTGCAGAGGGGTGGGGGGGGAAGGACAACTGAGAAAGCAGAGGGATGGAGGCATGCTGAGCTTTTGGGACCAGCAGGGAACATCCTCCCTGCAACAACAAACCTCCCCAGAACTGGACAAAGGGCAGAAACAACTGCAAGGAAGCCCTGTACAGCTCTGCCAAGCTTGGAGGTGCCCAAGTGCTCCTCTTCCTGCAGCCAGGACTGGCAGAGAAGACCAGAGCCGGGAGGAGACAGCAATGAGGATGCTGGCCCACCCACGAGGAGGTAAATACCTCCATGCATGAAAAGCAAATTACACCTTCAAAACCGTTTAAACCTCTCTAATCTCCAGTGCTGTATCAGTAACGCATAGAGGATTGCCTTTTAATCTAGAACATGAGTATGGGCTCGTTAGCCAGATGGCATCCATTTAAACCTAAATAAAGGGGGAGCGGTACCAGACAGAGAAAAAAACCCCAGCAAAACATATTCCATTACCCAACACGGCTGTTGCAGGAGCCCAGATGGCCTCAGGTTTGCAGCAGGACACAAGCTTTTGCATGGTTGGAGGGGAAGGCAAGCGTGGCTGAGAAGGATGCCACGAGCAGATTCTGGGGTGCAGCCTGGTCTCAAATGCTTCTCAGGTGCAGAAATGGTGGTGGTGGGACAGGGGCCCTGAAAATGGGGAGCCAGGAGACAGACACAGAAGAGACTCATGGCTTTGCTGCTGAATTTACAGCACTGGCTTTGGGCAGTGAAGGCTGGCACTGAGAGCTGGCTGTGGTACAGCTGTGCTGGCAGAGCATAGACACACCAGCCCCAAACTCTGCTCCCAGCTCAGCCATGCCAGGTCACCTCCAGGAAATTGCTTTCACCACCACCCCATGCCTCAGTTTCCTTGCCTGTAAAACAGAGATAATGAAGGTGACCCTCCCTTGAAACTCTGGCCTAGGAGAACTAAGAGCTAATTACAGCATCCTTATAATTCACTCTGCCTCTTCTGTCCTGTTTCTCTTTTGCTTATGCCTGTTCTCTCCTCCACATCCTCCATCTGTCCCACTGTTCCCATGCCTGCAGAACAGCTCCCTTGCAACCCCCTTGCCTGTGTGCTAGGTGCCATTGCAAGTGGCTGCCTGGGGATCAGGTGATGACCAGGACCCAAGGCAGATGACAATGCCAAATCTCATGCCAGCACTGGTATGCAAGACCCCAAGCAGCTTGGGAGCTGATTGCAAACCAGGAGCCAACACTCCCTTACCAATCCCAAATTCACCTGTCCCTGAATATTCCCACCCCACAGTCCTGGAAGTTGGTGAGTGGCAGGAGGAAGTGGAGGCGAGGAGGAA